GTGGGCTCTGAAGCCAGATGCACTGGTCTAAACCCCAGTTGTTCCTCTTACCAGCTGTGTGACTTTGGGTAAGTTAATTAACCTCTCTAGGGGCCAAATCCTTCCTCTATAAAATGTTATCAGTGGTCTTTGAGGATTCAATGAGTTACATATCAAACAGTCGCTCAGTGCCTGGTAGCCACAATGAAAGAACCAGGGCCACCCCAGCAACTAATAGGAGTTCTGGGCTGGAGTCCAGGTATGGGTGAGAGGCGGGTGACTGGTTCCTGCCAGGCCCACCTGCCAGGCCTCCTGTACATTGGGCCTTTGGGAATTACAGCTCCTGCAGAAATCATAAACTGATAAATTAACCGCATTCCTGGAAGCTACTATTTACTGAGCACCTACTGTGTGCCAGACTCTGTCCTAGGCACTTTGATTTTTAAGCCAGTTCAGACCTCTGCTTGGAACTTGAAAGGCCCCAAAAGTTGTGAAATTCACCTCCTATCTTTGGAGAAGCACCTCTGGGGAGATGAACACAGGTTCTTTGGAGAATGGACGACACTCCTCAAGACAGCTGCTCTGAGATATTCCTCAGCCTGGGAAAGTCAGCCTTTGCTGGGCCTCTCTGATGCGCCAGGCATATAGATGCTTTGCATCTACTGTCTCGTTAAATGGTCATATCAGTTGCCCGAGGTAAGAACCACTGGCCCCACTCTGCTTGAGGAAACTGAGGCTCAGGGTTAGGTGACTCACCCACGGCCAAGGGCAGATCCAGGACAAGGACAGAGATCTCTGGACCTCAGAGTCCTCACTCCACTTTATATTCCAGCTATCTCGGGCGGCAGACACGCTTCCCTTCTCTCTGCATGCATGGATTCCCACCGGCCATGGAGGGTAGCTTCACACCCACCCAGAGCTGGAACTTGTGTTTTTGCTTGGCAACTATCAAATGAACCTCAGAGGAAGTTTGAAATCCTAGACAGAAGTAAACAAACATTTATCAAGGAAGAAGCAAAATGCCTAGTAGCAGAAAGGGACAGACCCTGAGCCTCCCTGTGGCAGTACTGTGTCCATTTCAGCCCACTGGTCACAACAACCCTGCGAGCAGGCTCTGTTTGTTACACCTGCTGTGCATGAAAGGACTGAGGCCAGAGTGGTTAAATGTGTCTGTCCAGCTCGGAAGCGGCAGAGCCAGGATCCAAACCAGGCTTGTCTATGTCTAGAGCACGCGCTTTGCCCAGCTCACCCTGCTGCTTCTCATTCCTTCCTGCACAAACAGTGTCTCCAGCGAGGTGACACCCTTATTTGGGAGAATGATCTGCTAAGCAATTCTCTTATGCAGCCCTGAGCTGCATAAGGCCGTGCATGGGGATGGGGGTGACTCCAGGGGCCCCCAGGCAGTCCCAGGGACCTAAGAAGAGGCAGATAGACTGCCACCCCATCTCCCAGGTCTCCTCCACTGCTTCGCCAGGCTGCAGATTCCAGGCCCCAGGGGAAAGGAGGATTTTCCAAAACAAAACATCAGGCCTCAGCAGGTGTCCACACCACCTCTCCTAGGGCCCAGCGGTAACTGTGTAAATACTCACGCTCAATTACCTCCCCGAACTTTTCTTCCTCCTTAATTGGCTTCCAGGTTTTCTCCCATGCATATGCCAAGTCATCTGGAAAGCTGACGCCCCCTGTTTCCGTCCCACCTCTACTGGGTTCTAAGTGGGATTCTGGAGTCAGCTCAGCACATCAGCACCGTCCAGACCAAGGTGTGAGGGGGGACAGCACAGGAAATGAGAATCCCCCTGGGCACGTCTCAGCCCGAGGCTTCTGGGGTGCTCCCTCCAGTCCTGTCCCTACCCAGGGCTTCCCTGCACTGACGAGCCCCTCAGGCTGGCCCTGCCCCAGGCTGCCTGTGTCCTCCCTCCTCCCTCTGATAAGCTCTTGAAGGCTGAGCTGAAGGTTTGCCTTGAATTCCCCAGAGCACACAAGACTCTCTTCTGTCCCCAGATTCTCCCTGACCTGGCCCCTCCCTGGCCACCCTCCCTCCACAGTTGACTGAGCTAGACCCCTGGCAGCTGGAGTCAGGGAGACTCAAGTCCAAACCCTGCAGCTCCTCCAGCCTTGTGGTCTGACCTCGGGTGTCCCATTCCACTGGGGGCCTCAGCGTTCCCACCTGCGATGGGCAAGGCCCCTCCCCTCCCCAGGTGTCCTCAGGAGCACTGATTAAATGAGATGATGTCTAGAAAGTGCCTCGACTAATAGCTGGCACCTAGGAGGTGCTTCATAAACCCAACACACATGTGTGGTTATTTTTATTATCACTGCCCCCAAAATACCCTGCTGTTTCTCACTGTGCCTTTGCCCACAAGGCTCCCTCTTCTCGAACACCCTGCCCAGCCTGGATTAGCTGGCAGATACCCACCCACCTTCCACAGCTCGGCTCTAACTACCCTCTCACCAAAGCCTCTTCTAAACCCCCAAATCTCAGCCCCAGGGAACGGACCACCCCTCCCTGTATATTCCCCCTACCCCAGCACCGGCTCCCTCTCCACGCATCTCCCCACAGGCCAGAGAGCCCTGCAGGAGGAGGACTGGGGCCTCTGTGCTCCTGCTGTCCCCAGAGCCCAGCACAGGACAGGACCTGGCACATACCAGACACTTAATGAAAAACAGCAGTCATAGCTGGCCTTTCCAGCAAGCCTACTCTCTCTGAATATCTTCTCGTAACCAGTATCGCAAAGCTGAAGGATCACTCCCCATGATACAGATGAGAACATCAAAAGGCAGCAAAGTTAGGTGATGTGTCCAAGGTCACAGAGCGGGGGGCAGACTTGGGATTTGAACTTGGGTCTCTCGGGCTCCAGAGTGCACATGCTTAACCTCTCCAGCTAAGAACAGCCACAGGGGATGTGGGCTGGTCCCCGGGGTCACAGACTCTGCACGTATCAGGGACTCAGGTCTTCAGAAACAGCACAGAGCGTGGCCTTGCTCGTGCTGGATACAAGGAACCTCTTCATGCTGCTCGTTTCAGGACAGAACCAACCCCGCCCTCCAGACAACGAAGCACTTCTAACAAGCTCCCAGGTAATGCTCACGCTGTCACTGACCAGACCTTGGTTGGTGAAGGTCTAGAGCAGTGGTTCTCAAAGTGTGGTCCCCGGACCAGCAGCTTCAGTTGGGAGCTTGTTAGAAATGCAAGTTCTTGGGTCCCACCACAAACAGAAACCCTGGGGACCGTGCTCGGCACCCTGAGTGTTATGAGCCCTAGAGGGCACTGAGATGCACTAAATCTGAGAGCCCACTGGTCTCAAATTCAGCTTGTAAGGCCCAGCCCCCACCCTTACCCGTTGGCTCAAAGCACTCATGGAGGTGAGTGCAGAATGTGGGAGAGCCCTGGAAGTGAGTCTGCAGCCTGGGGTCAGCCCTGGCTCTGTCCTGGCCAGATCTGTGGCCTGGGGCAGGTCCTCACCCTCTCTGAGCTTCAGGGCCCTCAAAGAAGGGAGGCAGGAGCCACAGTCCTGCTGCAGAGGCTCCCCCTGGCTGCACTGCACCATGTCTGTTCCAACCCTCACGACTATCCCTGCAGTTCTCAGTCACAGGGGCTCAACAGCAGTGCAGGTTCCTGAGGACATAAGTAAAAAGTCCCTTAAAGAGACGCAGGTAACACCCGTGGAAGGATGGGGCCGAGGAAGAGGAGGGGGTGCAGATGAAGGAACTGTTAACTATCAGAGGAGGATGTTAATAGAAAATGGACGATAAACAGGAGAGCACCATCGCTCTATGTTACCATCACTCCCTAAGTCCGCTGTCCGCACATCCTTCCACTAATGGAGATGCAGGCAGAGGGACCTGGATGACAGCCAGGGCCAAGGTCTGGATGGTGAGACTGGACCACTTCCTGGCCTTTCCTTTAAACTCTCCTATACTATGTAAACTTCGCATAATAATCTTGTATTTTTTTAATCAAACAATAAGAAAACATTACTTAAAAATAACATTGTAGGCATTTATATAACAACGCAGGAGGAGATATGAGAAGAGTTCAAAGTGACTGTCTCTGGGATGAACAGGGAACGGAGGGGGCAGGAGCAGAGGACAACTGTACGCGTTATTTTGCTCAGAAAAGCTTATAAACATACAAAGAAATTCTGACACACGTGACAACATGGACGAGCCTTGAGGACATTATGCCAAGTGACATAAGCCAGTCACAGAAGACAAATGACGGCACTTCTCCGAGGGACGGAGAGCGGTCAAATTCAGAGAGGGGGCAGGGAGGACGGGAGGTGGTGCCGAATGGGTACAGCGATTCAGTCTGGGAAGACAAGGCAGTTCTGCAGATGGGCGGTGCTCACAGCTGCACAACGCGGATGTGCGTAACGCCAGTGAACTGCATGTGTGCTTACAAACAGCACAGATGCTAAATTTTACGTTATGTATATTTTAAAACAATTTTAAAAAAAAATCCCAAAAGAGAGGAGACGTTAAAAAAAATAATCAGGTTTCAGGGAGGGTATAACTCAGTGGTAGAGTGTGTGCTTAGCATGCATGAAGTCCTGCGTTCAATCCCCAGCACCTCCATTGAAAAATGATAATAATAATGTCTTAACATGTGCCCCTGATGTACTATCTTCCATCTGGGAATGGATCAGCCTCGTCCCTCTGTCCATCACTCTCCCTCAAATTCTGTCTACTGGAAGCAAGAGCAAAAGGGGTTGGAGCAGCACCTCCCCTGGGGGCTGCTGGCCTGTGGGCGGGGTCAGTCTTGGTAGCCGGGGGCGGCCCCGTGCACTGCAGGATGCTGAGCGTCCGTCGCCTGGACCCACCAGGTACCAGTGACCCCTCCCCACCCCAAAGGTGACAACCAAAGAAGTCCCCAGGGGACAAAATCACCCTCAGCTGAGACCTCTGAGTTAGGCAGAGCCACACTGGGAACCGTGGCCCTGCGCCCTGGGGCAGACGGGAGGCTCAACATCCCGGATTCACACAGGACTCTGCCTTCCCACCTCACCCGCAGTGTCGCTCACCCAGCCTGATGTCCCCCTCCAGGGTCATCAGCACGTTGCCGGCTTTCAGGTCCCGGTGGATGATCCTCTTGCCGTGCAGGAAGGTGAGGGCTTCCAGCATCTGGCGGCAAACCACCTGAATCTGCGGCTCGGTGAGGCCTCTGTCCAGCTCTGCAAACAGAGAGGAGAACTTGTCAACTCAGCGAGCAATCACTGCAGGTGAGTCCCCGTCAGGCCCACAAGAAATGCACAAGCCGCCGACATGGCTGAGCACTTACTGTGCCACGTTCACTTCCAAGCACTTCATGGGTTACCTGCTTCGTGCTCACAGTAACCCTACAGAGCAGGCAGTTATTACCCAATTTCATAGGTGAGGAAACCAAGGCTCAGATGGGTCAAGCCACTTGCTTGAGGCCACACAGTAGGAAGTCACAGATCTGAGATTCAAACCCGCCAGGCTGGCTTCAGAGCTCAGGTTCACAAATACAACCATCCTGAGGGCAGAGGTCCATTCTGTGAGCAGGCACCGAGGACCAGGCTCTGTGCTGGGAGCGGGGATGTGCAGGACGGGGCATGGAAACGGTGAGCAACGCTTGGGACAGAGGGCTTCAAGGGTGTGGGAGGGCAGGACGGGCAGCAACCCCTTCTGCACTGGGAGTCGGGAAGCTCCCCAGAGGAAAGGGCATTCGAGCTGTGCCTTGAAGGAAGAAGAGTTGTTTGAGAGGAGAAAAGGTGGGGCCAGGGCACTCCAGGTCAAGGAACAAGCAGAAGCGAAGACCTGGAGGCGGATATGAGCTAGTGTTGAAGAGATGTCATCTGACTGGTCGCGGTGGTGCCGGAGATGTGGAAGGTCAGGGGCCATCACCAAAAGCCTCTGCGTGCTCGTCACACGCACACAAACATACACACACACACTCTATACAACCCAGTGTCCACTGAGAGATGGCAGGGCTGTCTTCTCAGAGCAGGTGGGGGGCACAAAGAAGAGTATTCCATGTTCTGAAACAGCATTTGCTGTTGGGGGAACAGCATGCGCGAAGGACCCCAGCTGGCTGGAGGGGAAAGCGAGTCCCGGAGAGGCTCTGAGCAGGGTGGAGATACAACGTGAGTTTTGCATCTAAAAACTTCCTCCTGGTGCAGTGAGTAAAGGGCTTGCAGGGGGACAACAGCAGGCAGGGAGCTTGGCTGGGGCCTGTCTGGTGGTCCGGGAGGGCTAGAAGGTGACCCAGGCTTCAGAGAGGAATGATTACCAGCTCCGGTCAGGGAGGTGGGAAAGACAGAAGCTGGAACAGAGTGGGTGCTGTGGGGGAAGGGCATGAGAAGATTCAAGGACGACATCCCATGCTCACTGCCCCACACGGCATTGTGATTATTTAGTTCTTGCTGCGGCCCAGGCTCCCTGCGCTGAGGTGAGCCCCGCAGGCTTCCAGGCTGGTGGGCCGGCCAGGGCACTGCACTGAGGTCTCCCTCTGGCTAGAGCAGCACCCTCTCCGACTTGCCCTGCAGCACCCAGAGGAACCCACCAGGTCAGATCCCTCAGGCTTAGTAAAAACCAACACACCTGCCAAGGCAGAGATGCCAGCTGCACTGCCCTGGGAAGCCCAGCCCCAGAACAGGGCTCCTGGACCAGGGGTCCCTCTCTCTGGGGTCCAGAACTGCCCCTGCACCCCTGCGGCCTCATCCTTAACCCCTATGCCCTCTCAACTGGGCGCCAGGTTCAGAGCCTGTTGGGACTTCAGGGCCACACAGACGGTGCCCACACCAACTATGCCTGAACCCAAGCACTGCCTCCTACTGGCTGTGTGGTTTAGGGCAGGTTGCTCTATCTCCCTGCACCTTCATTTCATGGTCTGTAAAATGGGCGGATGAGGAGAGATGTAGGCAGGGCTCCAGCGAAAAAGCACGTTAACTTTTCAGCATGGAGAATAGTCAGGAAAAGGTGATTCCTGTTACACTGGTCCTGAGACGATGCTGGATTATCTGCAGTGATTTTTTTAGATGTCAAAAACGTGTCTTGCTCACATCTGATTTACTTACATAAATGAAACAGGAATCATCAAAGTGATGATGATGATGATGGTCTAACCACCATTTTTTGAGCCTTTGCCATGTGCCAGGCACAGGGCTGAGGATTTGGGTGCATTATTTCATTTCATCGTCACAATAATCCAGTAGTAGATATGACACATTCTTTTAAGGCCAGTTTATTGAGACATAATTTACAAACAGTAAAACTCACCTTTTTGGGGCAGTTCTATAGATTTTGGCCGACGTTTATAGTCACACAAACAGCACCACAACTTAAGATACAGAATACTGATTTCCATCACCCCCCCAAATCCTCCTGTGCCCCTTACACCCCCTCTCCAGCCCCTAAGCAACCACTAATTTGATTCCTGTCTCTATAGTTTTGTCTCTTTCTAGAAAGTCGTAAAATTGGATTCGTACAGTCTGGTAAATTTTTAAGATGAATTTGATTCCACAGCAATACACAAATATTTCCCTTCTTAACAAAAAAAAGCTGCAACACTGCAGATGAGTGTAAGGCCCTTTTGAAATCACATCCAAACCTGCCCCGCACCCTTCTGCTCGCGGGAGGGCTGAGAGCCAAAATGTTTAACAGCCGGCGAGGCACGGCCAACGGGATCAGAACGAACACCGGGTATTCACAACCCAGAACGGCCACGCGCTGACGGGCCACGTGCACATTCCCCTCGTGTCATAAAGGGGCCAGCCCAGCACCCCACAGCTACCAAGCCAAGGAACCTGGGATGGACCTCAGGAACCGTGGACCCCACGCCTGGGTTCATCACTCTGCACGACTCTACAGGGCGATGGCAGAGAAGCGCTAAGCAGGACAGGTGTCTGCCGGAGAGTCAAGCCCTGACCACAGAGCTGCAGCCCGGACCTGGCTCCCCCCTTGTCAGCTCTCCGCATCCCAGCTTCTCTTGTCCCGCCTTGATTTCTAGAATGTCGGTGGCACTTTCCCTTTAACTGCTGCCACCAGTAGGGAGAAAACCACTTGGGGCCGTCAGTTCCACCAGGAGAACTGGGAGAGTTCGTCTGCTCGCTGAGCCACCCATAACCGGGGGTCACAGCCCAACTCCCCAGTTGTGACTGAGGTCAAGGACCTGGGGCTCATCAATGCCTCGTCCCTCTCTGATATCCTCCCACAGGCGTCACTCAGCTAAGTGGCAAATCTGCAGAGGCAGAAGCTGCTAGCTGGTTCCCAACCTCCCCTTCTTTTTAAATATCTGAATATACAATATGGCCAACCAGTTAGAGAACCACATTTCCCAGCCTCCCTTCCAGCTCTGACTATGTTCTAGTCAGTGAGATAAAAACAAAGGTGTCATGAGGGGCTTCTGCGATGCTCCCTTGAAAGAGTGGCAATGAGGTGTGTTCTTGTGGAACTGTCCTAACCTCCCTTCTTCTATCCTGCTGTTTGGAATTCATATGTGATGGCTGGAGCTCCCACAGCCATCTTGTTACCAAGAACAGAAAACCAGCATGAGAATGGGGCCAACACAAAGGAAAGTGGGGCCAAGAGTTGGAGAAGGAAATCAAGTTCTTATGACTCCTAGATCAAGCTATGCCTGAAGCCAGTGCCCTTAAACTTTTCAGTTATTTGTGCAAATAAATTCCCCCTCCCACAGCCCCCACCTTTTTCTTTCCTAAATCAGTGTGTGTAACATCCTAGAGCATCTCAACTCATACGAGACTACCATTTTTATTTTGTCAGATTCTACCCAGAACAATGAAAATCTCCAAAGGCAATCTCTGCTGGGAGAAGGCACACCCAAGGGTCATATCACAAGTTCCCATATCCTGTTCCCCACTATCATCTACCCACTGGGAGCTCTGGGAGTGGCAAGGGGCTCTTCAAGGAAGACCAGCATTTCTATAGCTCAGGATAGAAAAAGGCTGCCCCAAATTTCAGACACTGCTGACATAAACTCAGAGGGAAAACACCTCCTTCATAATAAAAACATGGCTGAATGGTGCTGCATTATCTTGAGGGCCTCTCCTGTCCTGAATTGCCCCAGAATCCTGGACACATCACTCAATTTTCCATGCCCCAGACCCTCAGCCTCTCCTTACCCACTGCCCACCAGGCTGGCAAAAGCAGGGGATGGCACGGGGCACACAGCGGTTAGAAACGGGTCCCCCAGGCCTGGGGTTCACACCTCAGCTCTGCTGCAGGGCTCTGGGAGAGCTCCTTAACCTCTAAGCCTCAGTCTGGTCAATAAAACAGAGACACCCTTTCTGACTTTATGCATGAGGATAACACACACGAAAGCAGCTAGGACAACCCCTGGCACGTGGTCACTGTTCACAAAATAGAGGTGATTACTAATATTTTTGGGTTATTGCTCAGGCTTGCCTGGGACATCATGACCTGACAGCTTCCCCAGTGAGCTCTTACAGAGTGGGCAGGGATCCCTCACTTTGCAAAGAACCTCCCTCAGGCATCTCATTTTCACCTCCTAAGAGAGCCGCGGGGTCTAGCCAGGGGGGCACACCTGTCTTATGGCCAAGAGAGCTTGAGGGAGCGAGGGACCGTTCAGGACACATGGCCTTTTGCACAGGAAGTGTTGGTCCCGCATTCTCTCCGGTAACACAACCCCTGCTCCCAAAGAGAGACAGCAGTGGGGAGGAACTTAACCAGGTCATGGGATTACTGCGCTGGGGAGCGAGCGCATCAGTTCCAAGCGGAGCGGACCCGGCACCACTGCTCTGGACCAAGGAAGACTCACCCAGCATGATGGCATCCACAGCTCCCCCTGGACAGAACTCGATCATGATCTGCAGGAAATACAAGACAAAGTAACAATGAGCAGGGGCGCACGACACATGAGAAGGGAGACCCCTCCCTGGGCCCGGCCCAGACCCGGGCAGGTCTGCCAGCACCCAGTGGCCTTGCTCCCCGGCCTCTCCTCCCCCTGCCCTGGGGTCTGTCCAGTCTCCCCCACCCCGACTCCCATCTGACCCCAATCTTCACAGGAAGCTCTCACACCCAGGAGTTGCTTGGGCACTTCATTTCCCAGAAAAAGAAAAACCAGGTTGCCATGGAAACCCAAAACTTCAGTGAACAGCCTTTTCAACCGAGCCCGCGTCGTCCCTTGCTCCTTCCGGCCTGGCCCGCTCGCTCACTCATCCCTACCTGCCAGCCACCCTGCTTCCTGCGATCCACAGCCAGGAGTCTCAGAGGACAACTCCCGCCCACATACAAGCCAGCCAGGTCCTCACGGGGTCCCAGCGCCCGTGGGATCTCTTGCCTCTCTCCATCTTCCAGAGCCTCGAGTCCTCGCTGGCTCAGAACATCAGGACCAGCTCAGGGGGAGGAACCGAAGCCCAGAGAGGGGATGGGAGTGACCAAAGCCACATAGGTTGTTTAGTGGCTCCTGGACTGGAAAGCAGGTTTCCTAACCCCCAGGTCACTCATTCATTCATTCATTCAACACGCATCCAACTGACAGCACGTCCTGGTGCAACAACCAGACCCAGGCCTGCAAAGGGCCCCCAGTCCAGTGCGGCAGATGGAAAAGGCCAATGAGAGTAAAAAGCGTGGACGAGACTGACAGGCGCTCCCCCTCGGGTTCACGCCAACCTTCACTCTTTCCGGCCCACTCTGGGCTCCTATCATTCATACGAAGATATATATATGGTTTCCTAAAGTAGAGATAGCGGTGGGTGGGGAAGGTGGAAAGTGACAAACTTAAGGCACTCCCGGAATCTCTTCCAGGCTCCTGGCCCGGCTTGTTGCAAAATCCCTGCAACCAAGCTCAGTGGAGGCAAACACAGCGCCTGCGGGGCAGTCAAGAAGGCCGCTCGCTCGAAATAGAAAAGAAAACCTCAGCGTGACCCAGCTGGGCCCGAGCCAGCTCTCCAGCCGGAGGAGGGAGGAAGGGCCCCTGTGTTTCCATTAGGCCTCTAGGCTTGTGGCCGGCCTTCCAGAGGCTTCCTGGCGATGTGAGTATGAGGATGCAGCGCTGCACGGCGGGACCGCAGTCCCAAGCCCACCGCTCACTTGACCTTGGGAGAGTCCCTTCAGCCGGCCGGCTCGCACACCAGCACCTGCTGGGGAGGAAGGACACGGCCTCTCACATTCCTAGGGTCACCCTGGTCCTGCCTGGCCATCAAACACTGGGCCTGACCCCAGCCCCGCCGTACCCCTCTCTACCACTGCCATGACTACCCTCCTCAACCTAAGTCATTAGAGATGGACGAATGTCCTGCAACCCACAGCACGAGGATGGGGTACTTCCTCCTTCCACTCACTCACTCACCCATTGTTCACCTAACCAGCCACCAGCCACCCCGGCTTGTTCCCAGCGGTCAGGGTGACCTGGACACAGGCACTGACCTCTTGAAGCTCAGTGCATCATTCTGCCTTTTAATAACTCTCAGCTCCACAGAGAACCAAAAATCCTATGAATTGCTAGGAAAAGCCCAGCCACTAAAGACAGTGGCGGAAAAGAAGCAAAACTTAGTCACCTCGTGACGTCACTTACTTAAGTAAGCGGACTGTAAGGCGGTGAGATATCCGCCCCAACCCCACAGGAGGGACAGTCATCCGGGCCTTGCCAGGCGACGGGTACCGGGTGGGGCTCAGTCAGTATGAGCTGTAACTGTGACTCCTTCCTTGAGATTCAGGCTTTTTTTGGTTTTGTGTTATTTTTTTGAGACTCCATGGACACCATCTTATCACCTCTCACCCAGAAAAATGCAAATACGGACAAATGTTTGTGTGCAATTCCACCAAATTCTTCCATGCCCTGAGGTCCTACCACCCAACCCAGCTGGGAAGCCCTGCTCAGCATCTCCACCCCTGATTATCCAACAGCCTTGGCAATGACTTACCCCTCTGTAAAATGGGACAATACTATGGACTCCCAGCCCCCTCCTCAGAGCTACTGTAAGGGTTGGATGAGGCGGTGTTTATAAAGCAACAGGCCTGAGTCTCACACACAGCAAACACAGGACAGGCTTGGCCACGTTCCCTCTCTTCACGGGTCCAGCTAAAGAAGAAAAGCTGGCAGGCTTGGGTTCATATCCTGGTAGTGCCACTTAATTAGCTAAGCGACCTTGGGTAAGCCACTTAGTCTCCCCAAGCCACAGTTTCCTCATCTGCAAAATGGTACTAACCATCTCTACCTCCAACGTCATCAAGACAATTACTGACATGCCCACCAGGAAAGCCACAGCAACTAATATGCATTTGTCGAATCTCTAGCAAAGGAAATCAGAAGAAAGCATCACTCTTAGACCCTGTCATTTATTATTTAGGCTTCCTACAAAAATATGCCTTCCTACTTGGAGGGGGTGGGTGGGTACAGCTCAGTGGTAGAGGGCGTGCTTAGCATGCACGAGGTCCTGGGTTCAATCCCCAGTACCTCCATTGAAAAAATAAACAAACAAGCTCAATTACCTACCCCCCCAAAAAAAACCCAGAATAACACACCAAAAAAATGCCTTCCCAGAATTACAGTTCATCAACACACCCACAACTAGTATCAAAGTCAGCATGAGAAGAGGTCAAACCCATGCAGTTCCTGTGTCTGTCAGTGAAACGGTCCCTTACACAACGCCCTTACACAAGGCGCCCACGACCCCTCCCCTCTGGAGGTCAGTGCCAGGAGAGCTCGGGCATGCTGGCAATCCGGTCTGCTTCCTCTTCTGCAATCTGCGAGCTCCATGACCCCTCGTGCTTCCCATATTTTTTGGTTTACTTTTTACTTTTTTTGCCTTGGCTGCTGAGAAGCTCTGAGCTTCCTCACCTTTAGGTTTATTCCCATGAATAAATGGACTAACTTCTAGTTCTATGCCAGGGTCAAACCTCCAATATCACACAGTTTGCACACGGACCCTGGTGAAATGTTTTTAGGAGATGACTGACTGCCCTGACACCCACACTTCAAAATGTGAGGCTTTTTTTTCTTTTGAAACAACAGCCCTCAATATTCATTGAAGCATATGTCAGAGTGATGCTCCGCTAACTAACTTTTCGAAATATTGCCTGACTGTAGGTCTCACATGTGGCAAAATATATTTTGGGTTTTCTCTTCTTCTTCCTTTTTTTTTTGAAAGTGTTTTGGGGGTGGTGGTTGTTTGTCTTTCTGGTTTAAAAAGTTTCACGTCTTGCACCTTTCTATGCAATGCAAAAGAAAAACAAAGCGCCCCTCTCACACGTGGTTCTCCCTGGGTTCCATTCTGTTAAGTCTCAACGCTCTACCTTTCAGTTTGTCAGTGGTAGAGCCACCGGGGGCTTATATTCTGAACTTCTCAAGGCTCTTACAGAAATGCATGAGGTTTACCTCATAAAATAATAATCTCCATAAGTGTAATAATAATAATTAACAAAAATAAAATAATCATCTCAGTGCCTTAGGCAATTACTAAATATGCCGGTGTAGAAAAGAAAATGGAAACATGTACCAAAACCCACAGGATTCCAAGTGGTCTGGACTTGTGTGTATTCTCCATATTTTAGTCAACTAATACATGTAAAATTTTATATTAGATATTTTTTTTTAATGGAACATCCTGGCTTAAAATAACCCATGGCTACAGATGCCCCTGTTCACCTGAAGGCAGATGTGGTATTTGTGCCTGTCCACAGCGAAAGCCCCAGCAGGTCCGTGCCCACGGCATCCTGTGATGAAAGGGGCCTCCCCGGGATCCAGGGTTCCTGGGTGCACAGTTGATGGCTCTGAGCCCTCACTTAGCCCCAGATCTAACAGCTCCCAGAACCAAGGACCGGCTCCTTGAACCCTTCAGAGGCTCATCCATACTCTCCCTCCAGAGGGCAGCAAGCAGCTCGTGGCTCAGGGTTTTCTCAGGATCTGGTGAAGGGAGGCTTATGATTCATTTAATCCATCAAGAAGTATCAACTGAGGCTCTACCAGGCTCCCCACATGGCTAGGCAAAGTGCAGTCCACAAGAGACATACTCAATCAACAAACACTATCTGAACTCCTGGTCTATGACAAGCCTGGGGACTGGGGACAAGACTGTTCAGACAGGTCCCTGTCCCAAGACCACAGGCAGAGGCAGATGCAGAAGTGAGTGATGCAGGCACATCGTGACTACATTATCCAGAAGCCTATGGCCACAGTGCTTAACCTGGCCTGAAGCTATCCTGAGGAGACATCTGGGCTGGGTTTTGAAGGACGAATTTGCCAAGTGAAAGAAGACAAGGACATTCTTAGCAAAACACAGCAAGTACAGCAAAGGCAGCATGGAAGGTGTGGACAGGGGAAACGGTGGAGCGCTCCACGGGGTTCAAAAGGAAAGGAAGAGTAAGCCCAAACTGTCTATTGCAACTAGAACTTGAACATCTCAAAGGATGAACTTCAACCTGAGAGCTCTGTGCGTGTGTGGGGAGAGGCACCAAAGGGTCTTAACAAGGGCTGCCCTACAGGTTTCTACTCTAGGAGATCCCTCCGGATGTGGTAAGTCTAGAGGCTGGAAAAGCAGGGGAACAGGGGATTTGGAACAAAACAAAAAGGATGTTCTATCACGGCTGCCTCCCGCTGTACACACAGCATTTCCTCCTTCCCCTTTGTGAAACAGCCTTAAGAGCTGGGTGGACTCACCCCATCCCCAGTGGGGAGGGGTGCCTAAACCAATCAGGGAAATTCTGTGCCTCTTCCCTTGATGGCTGATTCAGGGCTGGTCAAATCAGAACAAAGCTGGTGAGTTCTGCCTGATGGTGTGAGATACCATGATATCTCACCCTGGAGCCGATAAGGAAGCACACAGCCCTGAAGGTTGCAAGGCAGCCACTTTATAACCATGAGGGA